AAGACGTCAGCGAACTCCTGCAAAATGTTAGTGACAACATGAGGCAAAGAGGAAGGCACGTCCTCGAATGAAAATAATGCCTCTTTGCACACAAAAGCTTAGCAAACAGATTTGCTGAAATCTAGCTCAGCAATGTTAGATTTGGTGGCAAATAAACATGCAATTTTTAATTTAATCTCAGAAGCAACACTAGATGGTTTATTATTAGGCTTCATTTGTTGCTCAAATTCTTTTGCCACAATCTGATTTTCACTCTTATTCTTGTTTTGTTTTGCTTTATTAGCTCTATTAATATCATCTTTCAGAATGGAATCAGGAGTCATAGGAAGCAAAGTAATATTTTTATCCTTATGAACAAGAGTATACTGATTGTTTCTATCATGGTGTATATAATTTTTATCAAATTGCCATGATCGACCAAGTAATAAGGAACATGCTTGCATAGGTACCACATCACAATCAACATAATCAGCATATGTAGAGATACTAAAATGCACACGAACAGTACGTGTTACCTTAACCTTGCCGCTGTTGTTGAACCATTGGATGTAGTAAGGATGTGGATGTGGTCTTGTGGTGAGAGATAGCTTCTCCACCATCTCCATGCTAGCCAAGTTGTTGCAGCTCCTTCCGTCTATGATGACGCGCACAGAACGTTCCTTCACAACTCCCTTTGTATGGAACAAATTGTGCCTATGATTTTGCTCAGCTTGTGTGACCTACACACTCAAAACACGTTGAGCAACTAAACATTCATACATGTCAGCGTCTTCAGTAGCCATGTATTGCGTCTCATGATCAGAATCATCTCCACCGTGTTCTTCACGTGTAATAAGAGCCAAAGTCTCCTCATCATAGTCACTAGCGAACTCATACCCACCATTCTCAGTAGCAATCATCACACGCTGAGATTTGCATTCTCGCGCATAATGTCCTCTTCCCTTACAATGACGACAAATAATATCACTTGTGCGCCATGTTGATGCCATGGACGAAGAAGAGCTCTGTGCAGGCCCGACAAGTGTGCTCTTGGCAGATAGTGGTGGTTGTGCCTGCTTTCTTGTATCACGGTTGGAGGTGGCACCTGATGGAGGTGCTGGTGCAGTGGAAGTAGAGGATGCACGCGGTGTCCATGTTGAGGTCGACCTGCAGAAAAGTTAGTTCGCGCCAATGCTTATCGATCCTGCACTTCACGTTCAGCTTTACAAGCAAGATGGAATAAACAAGTGATATTAGTATACTCCTTATACTCTAGAATGGTTTGAATCTCTTTATTTAATCCACCCATAAAACGTGCAGGCATAGCTTCATTCTCCTCAACAATACCACATCTAATCATGCCAGTTTGTAATTCCTAATAATATTCTTCTACAGAATTTTTCCCTTGTCTTAAACGCTGTAATTTTTGAAGCAATTCACGTTGATAATATGGTGGAACCCAACGAGTATGCATAGCAGTTTTCAAAGCAGCCCAAGTAGTTGGAATAGGATATAATCTACAATGTTCAGACCACCATACACATGCAAAACTAGTGAAAGCACAAACAGCAGCAGCAACTCGTCTCTCCTCGGGATATTTTAAACATGTAAAACGTTGTTCAGTTTCTAACTCCCAAGTAAGATATATATCAAGAACATATCTATCCTGAAATGGTGGAATATTCAATTTTAGTTTAGGAATATGGTCATTATCTTGTACCTGAGGTGGTGGTGCAGGCCTACCGTTGCGAATATATACCTGAGGTTGACCTGCTGGTGGTGGTGCTGGTGGCTGCACGTAATTATGATTTTGATCAACCTCATCCTCGTAATAGTCCTCCACCTCTGCAGTAGCAGGAGGAGCTACAAAAGCATCAACAGCAGTAGCAGCGGCACCAGAATTTTGTCCTAGCTCAATAGGAACACGCTGTGCTCGCCCTACTGTATCGCGGCGTGGAACTGGTTGTGGGAGACATTTGAGTAATTCATCGAACTTGGCGTCCAACTTGGTGTCAATTGTCTTCTCAATGTCATCCATCCTCTCCAATGCCTTTCCAAAGCTGACCATCACGTCTTCCACCTGTTGACCCAACATTTGATGAAACTTATCACGAAGCTCCTTGTTCATCATGTTCTCCGAGTCAATCTCGTCGGCTTGTGTTCCTGCCATAGTTAGCAACAATAGAAACAAACAAGAATATGATCCTACAAACTACTGGAATATGGTGGTGGTGGGGTGTCACAAATCCGTCAAGCGAATCTCAAATTCTTACCAGTTCTTACCCAGCAGCAGGTGGTGGTTGGCAATCGTTCTAGTCAAAACTCTCAAAGCTTGGATAGAGCGATTACCAGGGAGAGTCAAACGCACGAGTAGATGTATGTGGAGCTGGGAAGGCTTATAATATGGTAGCCAAAAGGGTTAGCAATAATCAATTCAGAGATGCAAAGTTGAATAAACGCTCAAAGACGGTACTGTGCTGGTCCTAGGCTAGACCGTGCTAGAGATGCGAGCCTAGAACACTAACAAAATCACGGCGCTGCACGTAAACAAGGGAGGACCACACTCTGATTTTTTTTCTCTTTCTTTCACTTTTTTTGCACTTTTTTCCTCTTTTTTTTTTGCTCCACAACAATTTTTTTCGAAAAAGTCTACAAATGGTCTAGAAACTGCCTAGCCAGAATTTTCCAGACTTAGTTTTTTTTTGAAACTGGAGTCATTTTTCTACTACGGGTAACACGAAAGTTCGGGAGTCCTTCTCTGTGACGACTCGAAGTATGGCATGATCTGGAAGTCAAAAACAAAGCAACAAATACTGGACTCGGACTATAACTGATGGCGGATATGAATCTGGTGGAAACTCGGACTGGTGGCAGAGATATGTAGGACGGTGGAACACGGACTGGTGGCAAATCTGTGATGGAGGTGGACTCGGATTATCATGATGGCGGTGGATATGTGGTATATGGTTGCGGTGATGATGATGGTGGTAGATGGCAGCGGTGATGACGATGGTGGTATATGGCAGCGGTGATGACGATGGTGGTATATGGCAGCGGTGATGATGATGATGCGGCGGCGGCGTGACAACTTGTGAACAGAACTCGAAACTCTAAAGGACTAGACACTAAGACCAGCAACTAGACGCGACGATGCAACCGCAAATTCAACAACGCAAATACAGAAAAGATTATGCAATGGCTCAGACTGGTGCGGATATGATGAACTAACCCTAATTTTTTTGTGGCTTTTTCGTGGACTATAGGTATGAAGAACAGACTCGATCTAGACTACGAAAAACTGTAAAATCTCACCGAGCAACCTGGAAATCTGATACCACTTGATAGAGGCAAAGGTGTCCCGTCTTTCGATGAGATGATGGATATCGCTTTGGTGGAAGTCGACTTTGACGATCCGACTACGAACGTGCGAGGACGTCGCGCCTTAGCAATCGCTAAACCAACTCCGAAAGGTTATTGACCACGTCGGAGCACGATCAACCTGACCACGAGGATCTGTTTCCTGCGAGCAAACGAAGAACAAGCAAGAAACTGAGATTGCAATCTGGATATTGCGAATATAAAATGAAAGCTTTATTGATCAAGGTGGGGTTCTATGACGCCTTTGTCTGGTCGTTGAACACAAACGAAGTACGCGAAGTTGCAGCTATGGCGAACTTTTAATCTAAACAAAACCCAAAGTCTAAACGACGCCCTAAGGGCTGTATATATGGAGGAAGAGGGGGGAATTTCGTGGCCCTTGGGGAAGGGGTCCGAAACCAACCCCATCTCTTGTTTCCCCACACATACGGACTCTAAAAACAGCTTATACTCAAGTATTTCGTAAATACATGGGCCTGGCCCAATAATAAGGTGACGCAGTACCTAGAATAGTCTCTGGACGAAATTTATGAAGTGACATCTTGTATATTTCGTCCAAGGCTTCATGCACTCATTATGGTGGCTTCAACGTCCTGAAATCATCACTTTGTAACTCGTTCTTGTTCCCCTTGCGCATGCCATCATCTTCATGCTTGTTCTTGCTCCAATGTTTATCCTTTTCCAAGCTAAGCCCTTCATTTGTAAGCAAAACAAATGTATCCAATTTAGCCAGCATCATATTCTCATGAACATTAGAATCATTATCAAGAAACGAAAAAACCTGGTAATTTAATTGACGTGCGCGAGCTCTAGTAATTGGTCCAGTATGTATAGCAGCAGGGGCTGTGGGTGTAACAATGGTATTGATGTCCTCATCAGGGTGCATCGCAGCACCGCGCAACCGTCTACGGGTGCTACATCCCATCACCAAGGCTTTTCTGCAGCGTTGAGGGTGTTGCATCGCATTGTGATGTGCTGTGTCACAACACGGCCGGCGGGTTTGCGTTGTCGATTGGAGCAGGCATGGCTTGGCCAGTCACGCTCATGGAAGAAAGTAGTAGAGACCAACGAGAGGTTAGAGACGAATAGAGACGCAGATGGCTCACGTGCTCACATGGAAGGGAAGGAGCTAAGGCCCTTCCCAGTGCTTTACGGTGTACAAGTGCTAAGGATGCTACGTAGGCAGAAAAATGATGTGACAAAACAATTAAAGAGAGAGAGGATTATGGTAACCCCAACAAAAACCAATACATGAAGGAATTTTATTACTAAACAATTAAATAGAGAAGACTTAGCTACAAAACCTAAGCACCGATGCATTGGGGCCGTAAGTTGCTAAGTATTTTAATGCATTTAGCATCCCACTTTAGCACTAATGCATCGGAAGAGGTCTAAAGATTACGGTGTGTGGGACCTGATGGAAAGTGTGCTTGCAGCCACTTGACACGAGTGCGCGCGAGAGACACGAGCACCAGACGATCCAGCTGTATCGGACGCCTCGCGACGCAGCTGATGCCAGTAAGAAATCAGCCGGTTGATTTTAGTACTTTTCCCATTTATATACAAATAATCCCCATATCCCCATCGGTTGCTTTCACCCGTAAGCCCTTCCCGGATAACAAAAAGTGGAAGGTGAAGCAGCCATGGCGACCATCACGGCGCCTCCCTGCTCCCCCTCTCCATCGTGTATGTTCCTCACCCGCAGCTATTGCTGCTCGAGGTCGGCGCCAAGAGCGGCCATCCGCTCATCTGCTGTGGCGGCGGCCCGGCAGACGCTCTCCTCCGGATGGGACCTGTCCGGGCTGTCGGGAGCGCGACCGGCAGCTGGAAAAGCCCGTCTCGAGGAGTTGGACACCAGCAACATGCTTCTCCGCCAGCGAATCATCTTTCTCGGCTCCCCGGTTAGCTTCCTTCTTTACTTCTTGCCCAAGTCCCACTTTCTGGTATGTGGTTCTTGCATTCCAGGTCAAGTTTCTCGTGATAAATGCTTAAAAGCAGGAAATTCCATGTGTTTTGAAGTAATTTTTTTAGGTAGAGAGATCCTCTAGCCTTTCCCCATAAAATAAATCTTGTGTTTAATAAGTCAAGATAAATAGAATGATTGCTGGAAATCATTTCAACCTGAACATACACAGTAGGTTTGATTCATTTATGCATTCTAACATTTTACCTTGGGGATTCTGCCATTTTATGTGCATATGGTAGAAGTTCATCACATGTCTACGTTGTGTGACCTTTATTGGCTGTCGTCATGGTTATTCCAGTTGTTGTAATCATCATTAGTTCTTTCTAATAGGCATCAAAATGGTAAATGGAATATATTTTTGTATTTTTTGCTGCACTGTGGACAAGCTTTGTCCAGCATAAGTCATGTGATCATATGAGTGATGTTTATTGATGGATTAGATGTTACCTTGTTGCACCATATGCAACACATTACATGCTTGCAATAATTTTGAGTCACCTGTTACCATTGTTGTCAACTGATGATAATTGGGAAATCTAATATAAACAGGGGTTATTTCCTTGGGGTTATTCTTTTTTGTGTACATCCTTTCCCCTTTTCATCTTTCTTACCACAAACAGATCTGAAATAGAACTACTTATTTGAGGATGATTATCACATATCTGGTCCAATTCCACGGTTGGTTTAAATAGCATACCCACGGTAGAATAATTTTTAGTTGGAACACGCCACTACCATGATAGGACATGGGACATGTGTTCTTGATATTACGGAGTGGGATGGTATCAAAAGTCAAAGCTAATAATACCACCATTCAATTTGGTCTCAGTTATCAAATTATGCTTGGTCTGCAAGCTATTGTTTCCTGTGCACATGTTAAAACTTAAAGTACTTATGTCAACCCCCTAAAATGGAGTTTAAACCCGATATTTATGCATCTGTTTCTTTGAATGCCCTGTGCTGATTGCTGAGCAGGTGGATGATTTGACTGCGGATCTTATCACCAGTCAACTCTTACTGTTGGATGCAAAGGACCACACAAAGGATATCAAGTTGTTTATTAATTCACCTGGAGGCTCCATTACTGCAGGTTGGTACTCTTAATCTTACTGTAAAAACTATTCCTAGCACTATTTGTTGAAAATAATTTAACAACATTTCAATTTTAATGATCTTGTCATGTAAAAATTTCAAACTTTTCATATCAAATTTGGATTTTTTGAGGTAAAGGTTGGCTCGTTCATTCAGATAAAAGATTCAGAGAGTACAATATCCTGAATACAACTAGGAATACACTGCCAGTAAATCGAATAAGCACTCACTCAATCAAATTTGGATATTTGATGCATACGATGTAATAGTTTGTCTCTTTCTTGATTTGGTTGTGGGTCGTTGTCACTTGATGACGTCAGAATTTACAAGGGATAGGGCATGCTAACTGGATCATAATTTTGTGAGACTAGAAAAAACCGACATCTTATATCTAATTGGAAAAATCGTGGGTGGTCATGCATTCATGTGATGATATCATTATTCACCCAAGCGGGGGGTATAGTTCGGATGTCTTTGGTTTGAGGTCAAGGGGGATTAGTTGTGGCCATTCAGGTAGGTTCCCATGGATGGGACACGCCCCCTTTTTAGTTTGTTTGGGAAGATAAGAGTTGGACACAATTAACCCTCTGTTTCGTTGAAGGGGTGAGGATGTATAAGGGTCTGTTTGATTGTAGTGCAAGGATGGATGAGTTGGGGCCATCCAGATTTTTGTGGATGGGATGAACCGATTCTCTTGTTTGGTTGCATGAGTGGTATGAGCCAATTTTTTGTTTGGTTGGAGCAATGACAGTTAGTTAGGATGAGCCTAAATTTTGTTTGGTTTGAGCGATGAGGATGGACAGTGGGTTGTCTGCAATGATTAATTTTAATTAGAGAGCTTCGGACGTATGAGACCTGACAATATGGTCGATATGCCCTTTACTTTGGGGGTTGTAAGAGTAACTCATCGGAGGACTAGGCCGGTGGTGACTGGTGACGGGTAGGCGCCATGTTCGGTGGCTGGAGCAGAGATTGGGAAATCAGAGAATTAGACTTAAGTCTGGAAAGCATATAGAGGACTTATGAAGCCTAGCAGAGGATAGGTGTCCTGGGTGATATGAACAAAGGATAGGGGTCCTGGGAGGATACAGACTCATAACATAGTCGGAGTCAACTTATTCTTTTCATAACTTGTAAACTGACTCAGGCCTAGATTTCTACTCTGTTGCGCTAATCCTAGTAACCAATGCCTTTGATCTAACTTGATGCCCAACAATGGTGTTTGCATATAGTTCAGTTTCATGGCTGTTTATTGTTGATGCGGCAAACATTAGCTTAAATCAACACTAATCAAATGCACTGTCAGGCCCTCCTCTGTTTCCTGAATCTCCCCTACAGGTTCATCGTCTGACAACAGCCGTAGACCGTCAGATCCTCATCGCGTGGCTGGAGTGTAGTCACGAAGCGGTATGCAGAGTCACTTAAGCTGTCGTCTGAGCATTGTCCGATCTCCATCCGTCGGCTATGATCAAATCACTGTAGCGCGTATACTTACTGTATCTGTTCATGTTGCTGTCAGGCTGTTTTTACCTTCAGTAAACTTTTCCTCTTATAAAGACCTCAGATCCCATCGGGAGAGGCATCAAATGTAAACTGGGTTGTAACCCTAGCCGCCACTGGAGTGGTTGGCCTACTTTCCTCTTGTTGTAAGAACCCTAACTAGTTTCCTCTGAAATCAAGCAAGAGTTTCCCAGAATTCCATGTGTTAGTGTTCGTCAGAGAGTTAGAGCCTGTCAATTGGTAATCAGAGCCTTCGGTTCTCGGCGGCGTTTTGGATTTGGGGACGCTGCGGGAGCTTGACTCTGGCCCAGATCCCGGCGGCGGCGAGGCAACTGGTGGCGCAGGCGGCGGTAGACTGCTCGAGTGCAGGTTTGGGCCGGGAATGGTTGCTCCAGAACACTTCTGCGCAGTAAAATCACACCCACCCACCCTTTCCGGTGCACATCGGTGGCGGGTGCAGGCGGCGGTGCTGGAGGCGGCAGAAACCGGAGCGCAGGTCCGGTTGCCACCTTGTGGTCGTAAAATCCCCTCCTCGCCCTCCCTATTTGTTTTCCGTTCAGTTAGATGGGCAAGCTTCCTGCTTTCATAAACCCTGACTGAAATCATGGCCCCTCACTCCGATTCGTCGAACACGGACCTCCTCGAGCTCAAGTCCCTCCAGCTGGATGTCCAGACACTACAGCAGCAGAGAGCGGCTGATCGTCAAGAGTTCATTGAGTTCACCCACTCCGTAAACCAGAATTTTGCCGATTTACAGAGCAGCTTTTCCAAGGTTCAATCCAGTTTGGATGGTTTCTTCTCCGACCAACCTAACTTGGGTAAACGAATGGTGACAGAGGGACCACCAGGCACTCCTGAAATTCTTCCAGCAAACAGAGAGGTGGGTATCTCACCCGGACAAGGCAACATCAACCAAGCAGCTCCTAAGGTTCATGCTTTAGTGACCACGGTTGTTCCTGACCACACAACCAAGGACAATCCAGCAGATAACACTGCCAGACACCCATACGGACATCCCCATTATGGCCAGCAACAGCAACTGTTGGTGCAGCCACAAAAACAGGACAATCAGGGGTACCTACATGAGGAAGATGGGGGTGAACAGGTACCTAAACAGGTGAGGAACAGAAGCAGCAGTCCACATGATACAAGGAGAGGAATTGTCAGTGTCAAACCAGCCAAATTAAACATACCTGAATTTTCTGGCGAAGATAAAGAACACTGGATTCAGACTATTGAACAGTACTTTGACACCTCAAGAACACCCCTAGAACAAACAACTGACATTGCAGTATCTTACCTCAAGGGCACTGCAATGCAATGGTGGAGAGGCACTGGCTTCCATGCTCATACCCTTCCCTGGCACAGATTTTGCAGGTATATTGGGGATAGATTTGCAGAAAGTTCAATTTGTGACAATGTTAAGCAATTTCATACACTATCTCAAAGTGGAACTATTGGACAGTACATTGAACAGTTTGAAAGATCACTCAACCTCAAAGAGGAGGGACAACCCAGGTCTTCCAGATGACAACTATACTAATAGCTTTGTCGCCGGGCTGTCTGATTACATACAAGCACACCTGCAATGCAACAAGCCCAAAGGCTTGCAAGATGCAATGTGGATGGCCATAAGGTTGGAACAGGCAGCTAATATCAAGAAACCTGCCTTCGCGCCATTTTCGGTTCGAAGACAGGTCAATTTTGACATACCAAAACCAACAGCTGTCCCTGCCCTTAATCTTCCTTCCAACCAGGTCCTCATCCAACAAGCAAGACAGAAAGGCATCTGTTTCAGATGTAAAGAACCATGGGTACCTGGCCACAGGCAGATTTGCAAACTCAGTCAGAAAAATCAAGTGCAGGCACTTCAGGCACAAACTGAAGAACAACCTGACATTGTCTACATCATTGAGAGTGATGAAGATCTGGCTGAGTTCCAAGCACAACAAGGAGAAGAGGAGCTCAAGATATCTATGCATGCCCTCATGGGTATTGCTGCAACGAGCAACACCTTCACCGTCACAGGACCTGTTCATGCAACTGCACTGATTGACAGTGGCGGCACATCAGCCTTCATGTCTCCTGACTTAGCTGACAAAATTGCTGTGCCTACTACTACCACCAAGAAACTAAAGGTCCAGGTGGCAAATGGAGATGTCCTGTGGACACAATTCATATGCACAGGCTGCCTCAAGAACAAATCCAATCACACATCCACTAGACAATCAAACACACAAGATCCACAAGGTACATGAACAGCAAAGGGAAAGATACAAGGTAAGGTTCATCTCCAAGAGGAGGTCTTGATGGTATCCTAGACGGATCTTCCCGCGAGGGGGTCTTGATGATATCTCGCAGGATCTTCTCCTAGATGTGGTCTCTCTCTCTCAAGAGAAGAGTAGGAGCAAAGCTCACATACAAATGAGCTATAACTTTGCTAACCCTAACTAGGAGGAGGGGGAGGAGTATATATAGTCTAAGCCATGAAGGGGTAAGTAGGAAAGGGATACATGGGCCTTTGGCCCGACTATGCGCACAGGCAGGCGCCGGATGTCCGGGCTGGGGGCCGGATGTCCGGGCTCTCATGAGATGCCGGATGTCCGGGGCGGTTTGCCGGTTGTCCGGCCCGAGCAGGGTGACCTTCTGGCTTCGGGTGCCTCACGCCGGATTTTCGGGGGGATGTCGGATGTCCGGGCTGTGGCGTTGCGCCGGATGTCCGGGCACACGGGCCGTATGTCCGGCCGCTGATGCTTCGGCCGTCTGTTGGTGCAGCTCGTGGGCGACTGCACAGGCGCCGGATGTTCGACCTCTGGCCCGGATGTCTGGCCGCTGTAGCTTCAGCAGCTTCGTCTTCTTCCGTTGTCGCTTCCATGCTTCCCTCGCGGATGGTGTAGTTGTTCCTTGGCGCTTGCACTCCTCCTCGTCGTCCGTGAAGCTCCGACAATATCTATGCATGCACATGGGAGAAGTGTCAAGTAGTATACCATCCTCGAAGGGGTCAAGTGAGCACGTATAAAGGAGATGATTCACCTTTGTGTATGTGAAGTAGATGTCGCATGTGTCACTCGCCGAACGGACTCTTGACAAGGTGATGTTCATAGGATGCTCCGCATCATCTCGCCTTCATTGGGAAAGATCCGACCTCGGATCAAAAACCAAATCACCATGGGAAAGAGATGGCTTCGCCGTGTAGAAGTAGACGTTCACCAAGTACTTGTCATCTTGAAGCTCGAAATGGGCACTCTCCAATGTCGCACTGTCTTGTGATTCCTTCAAAAGGAGTAAGGACAACAAACACTTGGAAAAACAAATGTGGTTAGCGTTAGTGCAAAACCAAGCATTCAAGTGGTGATTCACCGAACAAGTGTTGTCATCAAGCATAGCATATGGTTTGACAAAGGATTGTGTCATGACATGCAAGCATATGAATTGAGCACAAGCAAAGATATCATGGGGACAAGCATTTAAATATGATGTAGAGATGCTAATATGTTT